AATTTGGCTGACCCTTCCCCCCCAAAAAAACCCTCAACAACTCTGGTCAATCCAATGGCAGTTTATTTATAGTGAGAGTAGATCTCAGTCACTTGAAAGTTGGACACCCCTGCTATATAGGGAAAATACGTCCCCTTGGCTGCTTATCTGCTGACCAACCCCTTTTTGCCACCCCTACACCTCACCATCTCACATCCAAGCAGAGTTCTTGAAAGCCCTTACTCAACCCAACTGTGGGAATGTTGTGGATAGTAAAAGGTATAGGGACCCCTGACCATTAGGTCCAGTCATAGACAACTCTGGGGTTGTGGCGCTCATCTCGCTTTATTGGCTGAGGGAGCCGGCGTACAGCTTCTGGGTCATGTGGCCAGCAGGACTAAGCCGCTTCTGGCGAAACCAGAGCAGCGCACGGAAACGCCGTTTACCTTCCCGCCGGAGCGGTTCCTATTTATCTACTTGCACTTTGACGTGGGGCTGCTTCCCAGAGGATCACAGAGCTGTGGAGTTGGAAGGGACCCCGAGGGTCATCTAGTCCAACCCCGTATAACGCATCACACACACCCCAGCAGCAACCACAAGTTGGCTTTTATGTCTGATCAGACCTTCAAATCATCACCCCGAAGAGAAATGCTTTGCAACTGGGGCAGCTCACTTGGCGATGGGGAGAGATCAGGTATTGTTGTGGTACATGTGCGAGGGTGCGGGGTGTGTGAGTGAGTTGGCCCTTCAGTGGCACACACAAGGAAGCATTGCAGGCAGAAAGGCCAGGCCTCAGGCTCAGACCTTGGTAGATCTGATACTGGCCAGCAGGCCTTGCCCTCATCTTTCTCTCGCTGTCTCTCTCTGCCAAGGGGTCCAGTTCAGGGTGGAAACAACTGGCGCTCAGCCCCCTCCCCTCGCTGTGCCCTGAAGCAAACTCTTCCTGCTCTCAGTTTTTTAGAAATCTGATGGTTTTCTAAAATTAATTGGTTCATCAGGGAGCCAGCAAAGATTCTCGTGAAACAATCTGAATTTTCCTTTTCAATAAATGGCTTAATCAGTAGGAATCCTGGCTTTTTGATTGAGCAATTTGTTAGAGGAATTTAATTTTATCTCAGTGCAGGGGAACGCCTTCCGGCTGGGGCTGCTTCCTGGGGCGGGCGGGGGGGCGGATGTATTATTACTAGAGCAATCAGGTACAACGTTTTCCTGATGCCGAGAATGAACCCCCAGGGGAATGTGGCTACAGACCTGCTCTGAGCTTCCTCCCCTCGTGTGTGACCAGGTAGATGGGAGTGACCCTAGCTGGCCAGATCAAAGGGCTGGCCACACAGCCGCCTCTCCCTTGGTCTCTTGGACTCCTGGCTCTTAGCCAGCGCATGGCTCAACCTTCACATAGGATGGAGCCCACAAGCACTTCTCACACTTCTTTTCACTGTAACTACAAGGTAAAGCCTGCCTTCAGATTACTGCTGTGAACTGAATATGAGAAAAACTTAATTCTTCTTTTGAAAGAAGACTGTGTTGTGTTATTATTATTTTAAGAGGGAAATAAAAGGGGAAACTTACCAGGAACAAGCCAGACTGGACAAACCAGACCGGGTTGCTTAATTAAAGGAATCTAACGAATCATCAACTTGCTTCCAATAAGTTGCAAAGGGAGTGTGCTCTGCTGTTTACTCACTAGCATGAGTGAGGAGGGATAATATCAAAACAATGTCATCTCCTACCTTCCTTAACATTCCCACAGCCCAATATGGCTAACCTGATCCAAAACACCCACCCACCTCACTCACACACGAAAACAAAGATCACCACAGCCAATCACAAGCAAACAATCACACCCTAGGCCAACCCCAACCTCTCTCACCACCAAAGGAACACAAGTGAACAACACAAGCAACGCTGACACCAAACTCTACATACATTAAACATAATAGAAACACCGCCACCCGACCCCACCCCCATCCATCTTCCCTCTCTCCACCCCCCCTTTTTCATTTTTCTTTTTTTTTTTTTTTCTTCTCCCCCCTAATGCCTCAACAAATGAAACGGATTTGTAAAAATGTTACATGGGAAAAAAAAATACGAGGCACTACACTTCTGTAAAACAAGAAAATCCTTAATAAAATATTTAAAAAAAAAAAAAAATCTTTGATGGGGGGGGATGATAAGATACTCTGATCCATGTGAATGATCACAGGGCTAGAAATGCATATTAAAATTCATGAAAGATGATGCATAACACTATGGTTCTTTTGGCATTTCACCAACTTGCAGCCAATCTTACTGTATGCTCTTTGAAGAATCAAAATTCAGTTTCTGGTCTAGTATCCCCTCAGAAAGGTATATTACAATCTGAGATCCTTGCTTTAGGGCATGATGAGAGAAAAAAAAAAAAAAAAAACATTCCCACAGCCGGGAGGCCACAGCATGGGGGGGGGGGATATTTGTGGAAGATTTGCAGGAAACCACAATGACGCTCTTTGTTCTCATCCCTCTTGTTCCTCAATCAATACTTGAAGGTAGCACAAGACACAGAAAAAGGGTGTGATGGGTTTCAAAACAGGAAGCATCTCTTCCAGGTGACCCCTGGCTCACTGGACACTTGAATTTGCAGGCCTGGGAGGGGGCCCCCAGCCCACCCCTTGCATGGGATTTCCTCCAGAATAGGCCTGCTGCAGGACCCCACTTGGACAGAACCATGGATTCAAAGAACCACAGAGTTGGAAGCAAGACCAGTCCTGGCCCCACCCTCCAAAACTGCAGGTATTGCAGCTAAAGAACCTCTGACAGGTGGTCATCCAGCCTCTAAAACCTACAAGGAAGATGAGACCACTCAAAAAGCTCTTTGTGATGTTACGGAAATTCGGGGGGGGGCACAGCTTTAAAGTTGTTACGATGTTACAAATATTATGCCTGAATGTATCCTTTCAACTTGACAGCTCAGGGAAGATACCTAGCTTTATAAATTTGTAGAAAATCCATATTTTAACCGACTCCTCATTCCAACGCCATTTGGTCCTTAAAGAAAGGTGAATTTGGGCTCCACCTCCGTCCATGAACCAAGAAGCGGGAAGTCACTGTAGGCAGCAGGAACAGGGCATCCCGCCATAATTCCCCAAGTGTGAAAGCACAGGCAGGGCCCCCCACCCAGAAAGTGACCAAGGGGGCAACAATAGACAGTTGAGCAAGTCAGGTGTTCTGAAAGCCCATCTCCAGCCAAGTCCTGAGGGCAAGGAGATGTCAAGAGTTTCATTGTCCTTTCAGTGATGGGGACTTAAGAGGTGTTGGGAAAGGTGTCTGATAAAGTGACCTCATGTTGAACTGGTGTAACCCTCCCCATTTGTAACATGCTAGTGATGTAGTGATGATGTATCCATGATGCCCCTCGAAGTGTATTCTGGGGGAAAGAGGGAAGGTTTAAAAGAGGAGGTCACTCCATGCTCGGGGTTCTTACTCCTGGGGGGACCTGTTGCGCAACAACAACAACAACAACAACAACAACAACAATAATAATAATAATAATAATATCTTTATTGTCATTGCCCCCTTCGGGGACAACGAAATTACTTGACTGCTCCATAAAAACTCTAATTAATCAATACAGTATAATACAGCAAGGGAGATTAGATGACTTTCAAAGTCCGGGCTTCCCATTCAGGGCCGAGATCGCTCTGGAGAAGAAGCTGTTCTTAAGACGGCTCGTTCTTGTCTTCATCGTCCTGTATCTCCGTCCTGACGGCAAGAGCTCGAAGAGACAGTGACCAGGATGCGATGGATCTTTTACTATGTCCAGTGCCTTCCTATGGCACCTTGTGGCATAAATCTGCTCTAAGGTGGAGAGTGGGCAGCCAACAATGCTCTCTGCTGCCTTAACAACCCTGCACAACCCCATCCTGTCCTGGGTAGTACAGCTTCCGTACCACACACATAAGCCATAAGTGAGCACGCTCTCAATGGCACAGTGATAGAAGGCAAGCAGCAGTTTCTGCGGAAGATGGTTTTTCCTTAGTATTCTCAAAAAGTACAGTCTCTGCTGCGCCTTCTTCACAAGCCCCCTTGTGTTGACACTCCAGGACAGATGCTCTTGTAATTCAGTGCCCAAAAATCTGAACGTTGTTACCCTCTCCCCACAGACCCCATCAATCAAAAGTGGCTGGACGTTGCTCTTCTGTCTCCTGAAGTCCACCACAAGCTCCTTTGTCTTCCTTGTATTTATGAGCAAGTTGTTAGCTCTGCACCACTCTGTCAGCCGCTCCACCTCATCTCTATAATCCAAAATCATGGTCTACTGACCGCTGTTTTACTCCAAATTACTTGGCTGCAACTTCCAACCTTTACCGACCACATGGCCCCCCAGGGGACTTGCCCCCCACGAGCTGGGCTGTTGGGTAGTCTCTCACCCCAGAATTTTTCCTTAACAGTGATGTTCAGTCGGAATCTCCTTTCTTGCAATTTGAATCCACTGGGTCAGGTCCTCCCCTCCGCTTTGGAGCAGCAGAAACCAAGCCTGCTCCACCTCCCATGGCTCCCATGGCACTCAAGATATTTGAAGGCGGCTATTGCACAGTCTTCTTTCCCCCCGGCTAAACAGACTCAGCTGCCTCAACCCTTCTTCTTCTAAGACTTGGTTTCCAGTCCCTGGATCATCTTGCTTGCCCTCCTCTGCAGACTCCTCTGGCTTGTCAATACCCTCTTTAAAGTGAGGTGCCCAGAATGCTCAGTGGCCACCAAGGGAGGGCAGAAAGACCAGCGCCCCCCTGCTTTACCAGCCAACTCCATGACTCCCGCATGATGGGATGAAAGAAGACCCCCCCCCATTCACCCCCCATGCCCTGACTTGACAGAGCCCATCAGGAAGTCCTTCTTATATCACAAAGGCCATGAACTACGCAAGTGGAGCATGTTGTTCCCCTGCCTGGTTCCGCGTCTCTCGACACGCCCGCCCGCCTGTCGTTTGCATTCATGTCAAGCTCTTGAGCTCTTTTAATAATTGAAAAAACAAAACAAAAAAACATGCACCGTGCGGAAGAAAGGCAGCCATGTACCACCTCGGTTAAATTTTAATATTTGAAGTTGACAGGATGGCAGAGCGAGGGAGAAAACAGATTTCTCTTTAAAAGAGTTACCCAGCCCTGACAAATAAATAAACAATAGCCCAAAATAAGCCTGGGGGGAGGGGGAGCCTGGAAGGTAGTACGATGGCAAACTCGGGCAGAGTGGGAGATGAAGGAAGCTTCGAGAAGACCCCACAGTTCTTTCCGCAGATCTCTCCTGCAAGAGGAACATGACCCTTAACTAATCTTAACGATATAAAACACCGGAGCAATGATAAGAAGGTAGGACCTGATCTCTCTCCATGAGGCACTCTCATGTCCTGACAGTCAGGCTGGTCCGCCAATATTAAGATGTGGCTGGAAAACAAGGGATTAACTTTTTATGCAGGTATTTACAGGTGGTGGTTGTTGTCATTTAACTGCCTTAGAAAACCAGCAGTACAAAACTCCACACATTTTCCCCACTCTGTGGTTTGCCAGGTGGGTCATTGAGAGTCCCCTTAAGGTAAAGGTAAAGGGAGCCCTGACCATTAGGTCCAGTCGTGGCCGACTCTGGGGTTGCGGCGCTCATCTCGCTTTATTGGCCGAGTACGCTTTACCGGCATACAGCTTCCGGGTCATGTGGCCAGCATGACTAAGCCGCTTCTGGCGAACCAGAGCAGCGCACGAAAACGCCGTTTACCTTCCCGCTGGAGTGGTACCTATTTATCTACTTGCACTTTGACGTGCTTTTGAACTGCTAGGTTGGCAGGAGCAGGGACCGAGCAACGGGAGCTCACCCCGTCATAGGGATTCGAACCGCCGACCATCTGATCAGCAAGCCCAAGAGGCTCTGTGGTTTAGATGTCAGCGCCACCCACGTCAGCAAAGGGAAAGAAGAGGACCTTCTTCCTGAGGTCGGGTGTTATGTGCTTCTCACCCCATAATGGGACTCCAGGAGCCCCTGTTCCCCACCAAGAGGCTATTGGTGGCTCCTAGCCAGGAGGCTATCAGTTTAACTGAGGAGGAAGTGTGGGCCACTGGGAGGCCTCAGAGGACTGGGCTCCCCCCTGCCTTTCACAGATGAAGGTCTGGTTCAGATCCACGTTAGCCACACTGAACTGCTGAGCATGTGCCATTTCCAAAGGCAGCCTTGAGAGTGTCAGCCCTGGGGCTGTTCTCCAGACAACCTTCTCTCCTTACCTCCATCCTCTCTGGGCCATGGCTACTGGTGCATCTTCTGGGGCTTCCTAAGTGAGCCACAGAAGGCTGCTACTCCACCACCAGGTCTGGACTCCTCAATGGGATCAGGATGTCGTCTGGGTGGTCAAGGCAGGGCCAGATTGAGGTTTGATGCGGCCCTGAGCTACTGAAGGTAATGGGTCCCTTTCTTTGTCCAGCTGTCCTTTGTCAACAACAAATTGTCACTGTTTTTTGTTGTGTTGAATATATGCTATATGGTCATTTATGGACCTCATAGGTATCTAAAGCCATTTGCACATAACAAAATATGATTTTTTTATCAAAGTAATTGTTGAACTGAAATACAATTAAGAAGTATATAAATAGTGAAATACAATTAAGAAGTATATTAATAGTGAAATAATTATTAAGCTCTAACTTGAAATGATTTTTTTATTCATAACAAACTTAATAATGCAAACCCATTGGCATTTGGCAATAACAAAAGTTCCTTTCGAAACACAATTTACAAAGACTCATAATCTGGTCTCTAGAAACTTGCTATAACATGAAATAATAAGAGCAAACCAGTAATATTTTAGGGAGCAGGCTAGCAGGCGGGACCCATAACTTACATCATTGAAGAAGAGGAAGAAGAGGAGGAGGAGGAGGAGTTTGGATTTGATATCCCACTTTATCACTCCCTTTAAGGAGTCTCAAAGCAGCTAACATTCTCCTTTCCCTTCCTCCCCCACAACAAACACTCTGTGAGGTGAGTGGGGCTGAGAGACTTCAGAGAAGTGTGACTGGCCCAAGGTCACCCAGCAGCTGCATGTGGAGGAGCGGGGAAGCAAACCCGGTTCACCAGATTATGAGTCCACTGCTCTTAACCACTACACCACACTGTCTCTCAACACAACACAGCCTACACAACACAAAACACTGTTGCCGTGTGTAGGTTTTATCTTATATTTTGGAAATGCACATCCAGTTTTTTCCCCTTAAATTTTTTGGGGGCCCTCAAGAGAGTGGGGCCCTAAGCTAGAGCTTGTTTAGCTTATACGTAAATCCGGCAGTGGGTCAAGGGGGGTGGGACACGCAAGGTGTCCATGAGACACAGCACTTTGCAGAGGGGGTTGGGACAGAGGCGGCTCCACAAGGAGGTGGGACCTTGAGTGGCAGCTTTGGGAGGGGGGGCCGCAAAAGGTCTTAGGACTTTGGCGGATTCTTCTGGCATTGGGGTTCTCTGCAGGGCCCCACAGCTCTCCCTCAGAGCAGGGACGCCAGTGGACCCTGAAGCTAATGCTACACAAGTCAGGACCCATATTTCAGAGGAGGGTGATTGACCTATGCTGGGGGGGAGAGTCAGGGGAGGAGAGGGCATCTCCCCCGGTGAGCCCTGACTTCTCCCTAGCGAAGGCGGCAGCAGCAACAGCGCCCGCCCTCCAGATCTCACCTTCCTCCTCCTCCTTCCTCCTTTCTCTTTTGCCATCCAGCTTGCGCTCCCGGCATCCCCATAGCCCCAGACGCCCCAGACATGCTTGTCTTCATTTCAGAGGCTTACGTGGGGCTTAGCAGGAGCCTGATTCTAATCAGCCTGGAGCTCATCGGGAAGAAACTGCACTTGCTGCCAGATAAGGCCGCTCACATCCCTAACTCAGCAGCTTAGCCAAATGGGTTTAAATGAAAGAGGAGGAGCTGCTGAATGGAAGGGGCTTTCTCACCTGACTCTCTCCCCCCGCCCCGCTCCCGTCAGAGCTCCCTCCCTCCCTCCCTCCCTCCCTCCCTGTTTTCAGCCTAGCTGAGGTTGAATCCTGACAAGACAGAAGTACTGTTTTTGGGGGACAGGAGGCGGGTGGGTGTGGGGGACTCCCTGGTCCTGAATGGGGTAACTGTGTCCCTGAAGAACCAGGTGCACAGCCTGGGAGTCATTTTGGACTCACAGCTGTCCATGGAGGTCAAGGTCCATTCTGTGTCCAGGGCAGCTCCATCTGGTACGCAGGATGAGACCCTCCCTGCCGGCAGACTGTCTCACCAGAGTGGTGCCTGCTCAGAGGGAGGCCATAGCTGTACAGTGGTACCTCGGTTTAAGAAGAGCCCTGTTTATGAACTATTCAGTTCACGGACTCCCCAAAACCAGAAGTAGTGTCCCGGTTTGAGAACTTTACCTCGGTCTAAGAATGGAATCCGAATGGTGGAAGGGCACCAGTGGCGGGAGGCCTCATTAGGGAAAGCACACCTCGGTTTAAGAACGGTTTCGGTTTAAGAACGGACTTCTGGAACAGATTAAGTTTGAGAACCAAGGTACCACTGTATATCCTCCTACCTGCCTGGACTCACAATCGCATTCTCTTCCTCTTCTCCCCTATGCCAGCAGCATCACAACATCTGCAGTCTGAGCTCCAAGCTCCAATTTTAAGCGAGGCTGAAGTAGGTCTTCGAAACCGAATCTTCCATTTTAAGCCTTCCTGAAGAAAGCTGCTGTATCTGTTAGTCTTCAACAAATATTCTGAGAGAGTAAATGCTATTTTTACCTTTTTACACGACTTAAAATAATATAGGGGGTGAAAAAGGGGGAACACCAGGAGAATCCAGCCTGCCTTAAAGCATCCTGGATTGTCTTAAACTAAAAGGCTGAAACTGGCCTATCTAAGCTTCCCTTTTATGATGCAAATGGTGACACACTGCTGAACTCACAAAGTGAGGGAGGGAGGGAGGATAATATCTAATAAAGATGCCCTCTCCCAGCATCTATTCACGTCCCAACGCACAAGTGCTGAGGGCGTCATGCAGAGAGGTGAGGGGGCTTTTGCGGGAGCTGCAATCCTCAGAATGAGTTCTGTATTTGCAGGTGCAAATACATCACCTTGCCAACAAAGGTTCGTATAGTTAAAGCTCTGGTTTTCCCGGTAGTGATGTATGGAAGTGAGAGCTGGACCATCAAGAAGGCTGATCGCCGAAGAATGGATGCTTTTGAATTATGGTGCTGGAGGAGACTCTGGAGAGTCCCATGGACTGCAAGAAGATCAAACCTCTCCATTCTGAAGGAAATCAGCCCTGAGTGCTCACTGGAAGGATAGATCCTGAAGCTGAGGCTCCAATACTTTGGCCACCTGATGAGAAGAGAAGACTCCTGGAAAGACCTGATGCTGGGAAAGATGGAGGGCACAAGGAGAAGGGGACGACAGAGGACGAGATGGTGGGACAGTGTTCTCGAAGCGACCAGCATGAGTTTGACTAAACTGCAGGAGGCAGTGGAAGACAGGAGTGCCTGGCGTGCTCTGGTCCGGGGGGTCACAAAGAGTCGGACACGACTAAATAACAACAACAATTTGGGGACACGGGGAGTGGAGTCGGGAGAAGAAGAGACAGGCAGGAGGGCTGAGCCAACCCTCAGGCAGTTCTGGAGACCCAGCACTTCGTGGCAAGACCAGGAGCCCCCTCGCCCCCCCTCTGGGCCTGGCGGTGGGTCTGAGTGAGCTTGAGGGACCCTCCAGCACAAGGCAATGGGGCCAGCAGTGATCACTACTCCCTGCTCTTTGAGAACAGCTGCGTGAGGTCAAAGGCAGCACCGGATCAGAGTAAACTGATACTGTAAATGGGACTTGGAAGAAAATGATGATGGGGAGGCTGCTGCCATGGCAGCTGTGGTGTTTAGCAAAGCCTATTGGACAGTGAATTTTCTTCCCACACAATCACCCTGCAAAACCTCCTTGGACGAGACAATCCATTCAAAACACCCCCCAGCCCAGTCCTCCCTCAGAGATCTCCCTATTCTTCTTTGCAATCGATAATCCATTAAACTGCAAAGAGACTTCTTGGAGTTAAGGCCAGCTCCATCTCTCTCTCTCTCTCTCTCTCCAGCCACGCCCCCTTCCAGGATAATGATGCCCCAAAAAGGAGCTTTCAAGACTCTCCCTTCGGAGTTCCGTCCAGCAATGGGCACAGAAGGAAGGCGTTTCTTTCTGAGGCTCAGCAAGAAGAAGCAATGAGAAAGAGCAAAAGGGGGTTTTCTCCCCACACCCCCGAGTAAATTACAGCTCAGAGAGAGCAAAATCAGGCACACGCTCTTGAGCAAAAGGCTTCTTGTACGTTTCTTGCAGAGCAAAGTGAAGTAGCTTTCCAAAGTTTCACAAGTGCAGCAGGCAGCCCAGGAGTAATATATTAATAGAGCCTTAAATGGGAGAGGCCCCCTGTTTCAGAATACTCTGACCTTGACGAAGGAATAGAAATTGGCTTTCAGATGAAGCCCGTTTCAAACCCTTCTCTAGAGGATGGCGGGGGGGGGGGGGGCGGAGGGAAGGAGGGAGCAAAGTCCTGGGCACTGGTTGCTTCATGTGAAGGAGGCTGAGAGGGTGGTGGGCACATGGCAAACCCCTCCACCTGAGAAATATACTAGGAGTCGAGTGTGGATTTCATGCTCTTTACTCAGCTCATAGTAGTGAGGAATGGAAGTTCCCCCAGAATGTCTGCTTTATATACATTATTTACACAATGGGCCCCACGTGATTGGCTAGTTCCGGAATTCTCCTGTAGGCCAATCAGGTTGCGGATTCACTTCCACCTGAAGCTGGATTGGGTGGCTCCTGTAGACCAATCAGACTGCTGCATTCTGAATCCTATTGTTCTAGGACCAATCAGACTGCTGCATTTTGGATCCTATTCAACTCAGTACATAACAACCTGTGGAAATGAGACTATTTTAGCCTTTAGGGCAGGGTGGGTCTTCCATGAAACGAATGAAGCTTAAGCTTCATGGCCCCGTATCCCACAGGGGACCAAGATGCAACTTCAGTTCACTTTGCTGAAACTGTTTGGGTCTAATAGACCCCCTTTGGGTGGCACAACTCAAATGGATTCATTTTTTGTTGGATTTATTTCAAGAATCCCAAAGTTTTGAGAGTCGGTAGCACAGAAAAAGTGTAGCAGATCTGTCAGGGAAAAGCCCCACTGAAAATCACAGCCGTTACCCTGCAGTTACCCTGACCTCGTTGCTGGTTACGAAAGGACCCCTGTGGCTGTTCTCAAACCTCAGGGCCTCAAAAGTATGTGGGATGTAACATAAACGGTCAAGTACAACACTTCCTGTTTGCCCAGAGTGGACACGCAGGGGGGTGTTACTCCAGGCAGGAGGACTTCCTGTCCCACCTGGTCTGGAGCATCCTCACCCTGCATGTGACCAGGTAGATGGGTGTGACCCTGGCAGACCCCACAACAGGGCTGGTCACGCAGCCATCTTCCCTTCTTCTTCCTTTTATTCTATCTTGCTATTATTTTGCTGTCTGCTGGCTCTCAGCCAGCAGCACATGGGCTCAAACTCTTTTCTGTAACTACAAGCTGAAGCCAGCCTTCAGGGATCCAACTGTGAACTGGATGTGAGTAAACTTCTTATTATTTATAAAGAAGATTGTTGTGTCTTTATTCTGTTTAGGAGGGATAAAGGGGGAAATTACAAGGAATAACCCAATCTGGACAAAGCCAGACTGGATTGCTTAAGCAAAGAGATTCAAATGAATCTACCAACTAGCTTCCTGCTATATATTGGGGAATGTCGCCCTGTTGCTGACTCACAAGCGTGAGTGAGGAAGGATGCTATTAAATCCATATATCCTCTCCAAGTATCCACAACATTCCCAACAAAGTGTAGGTCCACCACTGTTTACGAGAAGCAAGATGAATCCACAGCCCCTGCAATTGCACCGGCACAGAACATTCTGCAATGGTGCAGCACCTTTGGGGCAGCCTGCCTGCCTCCACCGGCTTCACAGCCTATAAAACCAGGAGTCCAAATGGCCGGGGTGGACTAGATGACCCTTTGGGGCCCCTTCCAGCTCTATAGTGTTTGTGGTTCTAAGAAGGCACCATCCACAAAGAGACCAAGAAGGAAGGACCTGTGGGATGTGAAACACAGGAGCAGTCAAGTACAACATTCCTAGAGGGAGCATGTTTGCACATGGGGAGGAATGTTTGTCCAGCCAGCAGGTAAACTTCCTGTTTCCTTCTGGGCTGGGACAGACTTCCTCTGCATGTGACTAGAGGTGGACGTGGCCTCACCTGTGCAGGTAATGACAAAAGCACAGGGCAAGGCAGCCATCTCTCCTCTTTTTGACTACATGCATTGAAGACACAACATCTGCTTAGCCAAAGATGCTCTCTTGACCTCCAGCCAAGAGAGGACAAAGGGACTGTCTCCTTATGAAAAAGTTTCCAGGTGTATGTTACTTTTCTAAGCTAAGTCTGCCTTCTGGGATCCGACTGTGAGCAGAATGTGAGTGAGTAAACTCTTTTTATACTTTTGTAGAAGACTGGGTTGTGTCTTACCTTTTGTGAGGGAATAAGGGGAAAATACCAGAACAGTTACTATAGAGGCTTTAGCGAGCCTGAGCTAACGCATCCGCTGCGAGTTTAAAAGGGGGAATGTTACTCTGCTAAATTGTGAACTTGTTTACACAAGTTGGAAAGGCTATAATCAGACAATATATCCTCTCCTGCATCCCTGAACATTCCCACAGGACCAAGAAAGGGCTCCTTCCTTCCCCCTTGGGGTCCTCACTTGGCCACTAAGTGGCTGCCTTTTGATATGGGGCTTCACCCTGGCAGTGTTGCAATCTGCCTCTGGAACCGCCTGCAGGCTTTGTCCGCAGGTGCTGAGGGAGCGCATGTGTGGCGTGGAGGGTCAGCGAGGAGAGGGCTGGTGATGGAGCTCACCCCCCCTCATTTTCTCTCATATTCTCTCTCCTGCTCCCTGCAGAGAAATTAAGCTGCAATTGACCCTCTTCAACAAAGCTGCTGATTTCATCTGTGACGATAAGTGAACATGGCAGGAATATTATGCCGCCACCTCCCCACCCTGCCCCTTAAGCAGGGAGGGGAAAAAGCGCTTGGATTGAGTCAGGTTCGCCTCCGACAAGAGAGGTCACCGCGACGAGTCCACTTGCATATGGATAAGTTATTCTGCCCTGATGGCCTCTTGGCCTCCCTAATTGTGGGCCGGCCAGCTGCTCGTTAGAGCCCCGCTGTCGGGATGATGATGTTGGAGGGCTCTGCAAACATGGAGTGTTCAGGGAGGGGGGTTGAGGGCCAGCCAGGGACCTCTCCTCAAATGAAGTGGTTTATCTTCTGGAAAGTGGTTAGAATAACAGCCCAACTCTCACACAAAGAGCCAAGCAGCAGCTGAGCAGTAAGGGATGGGCAGGAAATATGGGGGTGGTGGGAGGGAAGAGGGGCCAGGAATCTCTCCCATTCTCCCTCCAACCTTCCTGGAATCCCCATTAAGCTTATGGCAGCAGGTTGGCAGCCCATGGAGACCACCTCTACTTGGGAAGCATGCAGAACTTGGGGGAAGATGTCCTAACAAGTCTTCCCACCCATCCCAGCAAGCTTTAACAACAACAATAACATTTTTATTTATTTATACCCCACCCATCTGTCCTGGTTTCCCCAGCCACTCTGGGCTGCTTCCAACAGTATATTAAAAACATGATAAAACCTCAAACATTAAAAGCTTCCCTAAACAGGGCTACCTTCAGATGTCTTCTAAAAGTCTGGTAGTTGTTCTTCTCTTTGACATCTGATGGGAGGGCGTTCCACAGGGCAGGTGCCACCACCGAGA